TGATTTTCTTTGGGGCTTACTGGCTGTGGGAACTGGGCAGGACAGAAACCCCAACAAGCCGGCCCTTCATGTTACAGAAAATAGTAGTGATTCAATAAACAGCATATAAATGAAGGATGCTCAAGGAGGCCAATTAAAAGAGTACAATTAATATATAAAGTGTGTTTAAGTTATCTCATTTCAAAAGGATCACACACACACACATACACAAACCCAAAGTACATCATATTAAAACCTTTTGTCAGTAATTAGCATGCATGAGTTCCTGGGTTCAACTCCAGCATCAAAACAAACAAACAGAGGCCCCATGGAGGGAAAATAAACAAACTCTTTTTCAAATATATTGACCTTTAGAGTAGCCTATAATTATGTTCCATGAGAGAAGAATAAAACTTATTTAGTGGGATTTGGAGAGCTGGGCTCAGCAGTTAACTCTGACTGTTCTTCCACAGGACCTGGGATCAATTACCAGCACCCACATGGTAGCTCACAACCCATCTGTAATGCCAGTTCCAGGGTATCTGGGATGCCCTCTTCTGGCCTCCCCAGCCAGGCATGAGGCAATGCAAGTAGTGCACAGATATATATGCAGGCAAAATACCCATAGACATAAAGAAGTTTTTTTTGTCTTTTTTTTTTTTAGATTTTATTTTATTTATTATGTACATAGTGTTCTGCTTGCATCTTTGCCTGCGTGACAGAAGAGGGCACCAGATCTCATTATAGATGGTTGTGAGCCACCATGTGGTGGCTGAGAATTGAACTCAGGACCTCTAGAAGAACAGCCAGTGTTCTTAACCTCTGAGCCATCTCTCCAGTCCTGACATAAATAAGTTTTAAAAGCATTTTTAAAAGATTGTTTCGTCAAAGTGGAGGACTTAAATGGAATAGCCATTCCTATAATTATAACTAACTCATAGCTTAGAAGATATTTTTGCTACAGATTGATCTACAGAATCTATTTTTGATGTTTCAATTTGTTCTGTTCATGTGGATCATGGCCATGTTATGAATAATGTGGTTTTTCAAGCCTGAGAAGTGGGGTGTTGCTTTCAGGTTTTGCCATTTTGGCAGGAAAAGAAATTGCTCCTCATTATACTAGGACCAGAATGTGTAAAACCTGACACATTGCTAGAGCATTCTTCTCCCTGCACTCTCCTCACAAATAAAATCTCCTCTAAGACATTCAGGAGAATGAATCACTCCACCTGCTACTAGGAGATAATCATCTTCACAGTGGAAGAAAACAACTATTTTCACTGCTGCTTATAGAAAGAACACAGCATCTTAGGACAGGAAAGTAAGAACAGCACTGTTGCATAAGTACCAGTGGCCAAACTACAGCTTGCTAAGAAGCTGAAAGAACCTGTCTTCTCTGTGCACACCTGAACAGCACAAATTAACTGGGATATTATTATGTTACATAAAAATCAAAAGATAGGCCATGAATGATGAAAGATAGGCCAGCCCAGACATAAACTATTTCTCATACCAGAGTGGAGGTGTGAAAATGAAAACACAACTCACAGGACTTTATTGAGAGGGAGTTTTCAAGGGTCCTTCATGAAATCCTGAATTCACAACCTGAAAAATCACCCACGTTTATTCTCCAAACAGCTTTTATATCAAAACGTAAACTGAGGGGGAAGTTCAATAGCGTTGTTTCCTAGGTAGTAGGGGAATCTTAGGTCATGTCCATGCCCATGCTCATTTTGTCACATAGACTAAAAAACACCTCTTCCCCAGGCAACCGCCTAAATTGCAATAGAAGAAGCAGAACGGCGTTAGCATATCTTGACTACTTGATTAGGATTACATCAGGTTGTTTGACTATCAAAGGCCAGGTGACTACCTTCTGTGTGGCAGGTGCAAATTGTGCCTTGCAGGTCTTAGAATTCTGACTGCCATACAATGTAAGAATATGGGCTTGTATAATCCAGCCCTTAAAGAATGATGGTCAGACTTTTACAGATCTCTATGAATTAAAGACCATCCTGGTATTTATGTAGAGAGATCTAAGTCAGCTAAGGCTAGACAATGAGACCCTATCTTGAAACTAACTAACCAAATAAGGCATCATAATCATTATAGAAATCATATCTCAAACTATCCAACGAGGTAATAAGCAACATCATCTTGAAGAAAAATCTGAACAAAGTTCTAAGTTCTAAGATGAATTAAAAATATTTCCACCTCATTTCTTTTCTGAAACTATTCCATTTTTTTAAAAATAATTCAATTGCAAACTTAGACTCTGACATTTCTATTAGGAGCCATACTATCTTACATTGAGAAAAAAAGACTATTCAGAAGAAACCAACTAGATAGAGTGTAGAAAGTGTTTACTGAAGGGAAAAATAACAAGAATCAGGACAGTTGGATAAGAGAGCCCCAGAAAGGATCAGGAGTGTGAAACACCAAGTACCACATTAGAGAATTCTCACTTCAGGCTGAAAATGCAGTCAAAATAAAGTATTTTCATACTCCCCGTCTTACTGGTTTCACTTGAAATACTAGCTGCTATTTCTATTGCCCTAATTTGAGACTATCAAAGTCAGTATGTAGGCTGGATGTGGTGGCACACACCTTTAATCACAGCATCCAGGAAGCAGAGGTAGGTGTATCTCTGTGAGTTTGAGGCCAACCTAATCTAAATAGCAAGTTCTGAGGACAGCCTGGTCTATATAGGAAGATATTTTCTCTATTAATAAAATAATAGTAATTAATAATAGGTAGTATAAAAATGGAGTTTGAGAAATCAAAAGAGAAAACAATTGCTAAGTAAATTTACACAGTGTGGTTATTTGCTTTGCATGCAGCACTGTCTGAGTTCCCCTCATGTTCTGGGTGTGTTTTGTTGTCACTTTTGTCCTGTCAGAAAGCAGAGAGCTCCTTGTATGGGCTTTTCCATAAACAGAAAGAGGCCTTCTTCTCTTTACACATCAGACAGCTTTTTCTCTTCCTTCCTCCCTCCCTCCCTTCCTTCCTTTCTTTTTTGAGACAGGGTCTCATTACATAGCTCTGGCTGGCATGGAACTTGCTATTTAGACCAGGTTGGTTTCAAACTTAAAAGAGATTCGCCTACCTCTGCCTCCTGAGAGCTGGAATTAAGGGTGTGTGTACTATGCCTAACATCCACAGGCTTTTCATGAAGGAAAAAGAACACAGTTCCCCCATACACACATATAATCCACTCATGAATCTCCTAATAGGAGCTTTTCATCTTGAAGAATCAAAACATTTTAACTCTAAATGGTCAATCACAAGTCCCTGGCCAGGACAACTCCGGGGGTAGTTAATGACCTGTTAGCCATGTTGATAAGGATCAAGATCTTCTATCTTTCTGTTTTTCTGCTTGCCTTCCTCAGAATTCTGACTTTGATGTTAGGTTCTAGGTAAGATGACTGGCATAGCTCAAGTTGAAACAATAAAGTATTATACAGTCCAGAGAAAGGAAAAGCCTCTATATTTGTAAGTAAAAACATTCCCCTCCTAGGAAACTCCCTGTTACATCTGGCTAGATTAGGTCATGTATCTATCCTACAAATGTCACTTCAAGAGAAATGTGTGGAGACTGGAGAAAGATGGGCTGTTGCCACTAACCTGTGACTATGTCATGATAAAAAGAGAAAAAGAAAAGGCCTCTTGCAAGCCCAGAACCACTGTTCACTCTGCTAAATGTATCAGCCTGGTTTCCAACATGATGCTGAGCCCTAAAATATGAAGTCATTTACTTACTTATTCTACAAACACTTTGATCACTGTCTACTAATGTAATTGGAGGCCATTAATCATTCCCGGCTGCCCAGACCATGAAATAGTCACATAGAAACTATATTATTTGCAATACTGTTTGGCCAATAGCTTAAGCGTATTTCTGGCTTACTCTTATATCTTAAACTAATCCATCTCCATTAATCTGAGCATCACCATGAGGTCATTGCCTACCTGCAAAATTTCTGCGGGCTCCAGTGCAGGCGTTTGTCCCCAGCAGTGGCTACATGGCTTCTCTCTGACTCTGCTAAATCTCTCTCTATATATCTCTTTCAGCTTGGCTATACCATTGGCCAAAGTAGCTTCTTTATTAACCAATGCTATTCACAGCATACAGAAGGAAATTCCACATCACCTTCACTTTTCTCTTCCAACAAATGGTGCTCCAACATGTGCCAGCTAAAATCTACATAAAACCTGAGAGAACTTGGAAAGGAATTCTAGACACAAAAAAAGTTTAGTTGAATTTTTTGGGGGGTGGGGTCTGTTTGCTGACAGTGAGCGGGGGGGGGGAGGAGGAGAGGGGGCGGGCAGGGGTAGTCATGGCTCTTTTAAGAAAGGTCTTCCTGATTCAGCATTAGCAGCAAAACAACCCATGCGGTTAAGAAACACTGGCTTCCTGGTTTGTGCTGCTAGCCTGAACTCTGGCTTTTTCAGGAGGTTGAGCACTTGAATGGGGTTTGTAAGCAATGTGTTACCTGCTTAATGGTGCAACATAGATTTTGGAAGAAACCTTTAAACAAGCATGCTTGGGTCTAGAGGAGGGGGAGCCATATCCTAACTCTAGAACCAGGTTTTAATTCAAATAGGACAGCATAAAACAACAGTCTAATACAACTCATACCTAAAAGATACCCAAATACCAGTAAAGCTTAAGCTGAGGAAAAAAGAAAGCTTAGAGATTGGAAAATTTTGAGTCCTGGCACAAAGAGTGCTACAGGAGGGAGCTGAGAGAAGCATCAGCCAATGGAGAGTGTGGGTAGAGTGTGTGCTTGTTGTTGCTGCCTACTCCTTTGCTTTGTTCCTTCCAGTTAGGTCTCCTTCTTAACTCCCATGTTGCAACAAACTTACAAATCTGTCTATGGTAAGTTAAAAGGCACAGTGTGTGTGTGTGTGTGTGTGTGTGTGTGTGTGTGTGTGTGTGTGTGTGTGGTTGGGGGAGATGAGACAGAAACAAAGTGCTGTGGGAACTCCTTCAGCCAATAGCCTTTAAGATTCCAGTCCACTTAGGCATGGTCTCTTGTACTATAAATGTATATGTAAAGCTTGCATAGGCTCTCTCTTTATCTCTCTCTCTCTCTTGGCTGCTGGATTCAGTTACTGTTCCCTGCTGGTGCAGATGACTGTGATCTATGAGTCTACCCCTAAATAAAGAACCTTTTATTATACTCAGTTCTGATCTAGTGTGGTACTACTTCATAGTGTACATCTGGAACTTAGATGAATCCCAATTCCATGCCTACTGGGACCAGCTCAAAAGGTCTATGACCCAAAGGCCTGTGGCCCAGAAGTTCTACCACCCTCATCTGTCTGACTTGATTTTACCTACTGAGTGGTTTTTTTTTTTCTTCCCAGAACCTCACCACAGCGGAGCTACCACACTTTGGCAATTTCCCAGTCTCATGCATACTCCCCCCCCCAAAAGGTTGTTTTCCCTGCAGCAAGACACCTTGTGCAGCTTCCAGTTTGTGTTCCCTGCTTGCACGCTGTGGGTGTCTTGATATCCTGGCCACCAAAAAGCTCTCTCAGTGTACAGAATCAATTTAATTGCTCTTAATTTGGCAAACAAAGTATATATGTCAGTATTTAAGCAGGTGCCAATGTTGAACCAAGCGGGACTGTTCATGCTGCCACATCTCTCTGCTATGCGGCTGCAACAGTGACACCTTCTGGCCAATAAAGATTATTACACCTACAACAATTTACTGAAATTTCATAACGAAGGTAAGTTTATTTGAATAATAAATAAATCAATAAATTTGAAAGTTAAATAATAGCACACAATATCACCATCCAGGAATTTAATAACCTTTCTGCTTATACTATGGAAGGTATTCTGCAAGGCTTATATGGTTTTCTGATCCATCCATTTATTTGATATTATCTTAAAATGGATTTTTTTTAAACCACAAAAACCAAGAAAAAAATTAAAAACTTATATGGAAAAGGTTTCTGATTTATTTTTATAAAAGGAAAATTGAAACTTTGTCAACTAGTAGAAATAGACCCAGCAGAGATTATAGTGCCAAGTAGAAAATTTCCTATTGTGAATATCTCTAAGGCCTTGTGTTTCTCAGACTAGAGACAAAATTCTAAGGAGAGAGAATACTCACCACAAAAATTACAAGCAGCACGTCCATAGAGTGTAGCCAGTATAATCAAATGCTCTTGACATGGATGCCAGTGTAAACTGCAGTACAAGTTTGAAGACCTTGATAATATCTTGATTGGGAGCTTATTACCAACAAATACTGACATGAAAGTTTTCAGAGGATACATATCTTAGGAGAGGAAAATATGTTAACAGAGATTGCACTTTTGTTTCCCGGTTACTCAGATCAGAATAATCACACAGAAACTATATTAATTACAAGACTGTTTGGCTTATGGCTCAGGCATATTTCTAGCTAGCTGTTACCTTAAACTACCCAATTTCTAATACTCTGTGTATTGCCACATGACTGTGGCATTGCCTCATTTTCTACAAGTCTTGTATGCTTGTTGGCTTGCTGGTATCTACTTGACACAGCCTACTCTCTCTATGTGTCTCTGTTCAGATTTCCCACCTGGCTTTACTCTGCTAAGTCATTTGATGAAACAGCTTTATTCATCAACCAACAAAAGCAACACATTTACAGAAGGATATCCACATCAAAAATCTGTGAGAAAATCTTGCCTCTGCAGCTACCTGTATGTTGGGACACATACTACCCTGAATATTCTCACTTGTGTTTCCTTGCAACAACATCATCTCACAGTCTGTCAGAGCCTAATAAAACTCTCCATGCCACACCCAACCCAATGACTCATGACCTCCTCAATACATACTTATACACTTTCTCAAAAATACACAATTCTTTTTTTAATTTTTATTTATTTTTTCCATTCAAAAATTTATACTTCCTCCCCTGCTCCCATTCCCCTCCTGTTCCCCCACCAACCCTCCTCCCTCCCTCCTTAAGAGAGGGCAGGAAACCCTGCCCTGTGGGAAGTCCAAGGTCCTCCTCCCTATATCCAGGCCTAGGAAGCTTTGCATCCAAATAGACTAGGGTCCTAAAAAGCCAGTACATGCAGTAGAAACAAGTCCCAGTGCCTTTATCAATGGCTTCACAGTCAGCCCCCAGTGTCAGCCCATTCAGAGAGTCCAGTTTGATCATATGCTCGTTCAGTCCTAGTCAAGCTGGATTTGGTGAGCTCCCATTAGAACAGGCACACTGTCTTAGTGGGTGGACCAACCCCTCGCGGTCCTAACTTCCTTGCTCATCTTCTCCCTCCTTCTGCTCAGTCCGTTGCTCTGATGAGGGTCTTTGTCTCTATCTCCATACATCACCGGATGAAGATTCTATGGTGATATCGAGATATTCATCAGTGTGATAGTGGGACAAGGCCAGTTCAGGCACCCTCTCCTCTGCTGTCCAAGGACCTAGCTGAGGACATCCCCGTGGACACCTGGGATCCCCTCTAGAGCCAAGTCTCTTGCCAACCCTAAAATGGCTCCCCTAATGTAGATATCTTCTTCCCTGCTCCTATATCTGCCCTTCCTCCATCTCGACCCTCCCACTCCCCCAAGCTCTCTCCAGTCTTTCCTTTCTCCCTTCTCTTTCCCCCTCTCCTTCCCCCATGCCCACCCCACCCCCATACTCCCAACTTTTGCCTGGCGATCTTGTTTGCTTCCAATTTCCAGGAGGATCTGTATATGTTTTTCTTTGGGTTCACCTTGTTATTTGGCTTCTATAGGCTTGCGAACTATAGGCTTAATGTCCTTTGTTTATGGCTAGAGTTCACTAATGAGTGAGTACATACCATATTCATCTTTTAGGGTCTGAGTTATCTCACTCAGGATAGTGTTTTTTATTTCCATCCATTTGCATGCAAAATTCAAAATGTCATTATTTTTTACTGCTGAGTAGTACTCTAATGTGTACATATTCCACACTTTCTTTATCCATTCTTCCATTGAGGGGCATCTAGGTTGTTTGAAGGTTCTGACTATTACAAATAATGCTGCTATGAACATAGTTGAACAAATGCTTTTGTACTATGATTGGGCATCTCTTGGGTATATTCCCAAGAATGGTATTGCTGGATCCTGAGGTAGATTGATTCCCAATTTCCTGAGAAACCACCACACTGATTTCCAAAGTGGTTGTACAAGTTTGCATTCCCACCAGCAATGGATGAGTGTTCCCCTTATTCCACATCATCTCCAGCATAGGTTATCATTGGTGTTTTTGATTTTAGCCATTCTGACGGGTGTAAGACCTGTCTCAAAATCCCAGCAAAATCCCTCAAAGAATTCGAAAGAACGGTACCCAACTTCATATGGAAAAGCAGAAACCCCAGGATAGCCAAAACAATCCGATGCAATAAAAGAACTTCTGGAGGCATCACAATCCCTGACTTCAAACTCTACTACAGAGCTACAGTACTGAAAACAGCCTGGTATTGGCATAAGAACAGACAGGAGGACCGATAGAACCGAATAGAAGACCCAGATATCAATCCATGTCTTTGAACACCTGATCTTTAAAGAAGCAAAAAATATCAAATGGAAAAAAGAAAGCATATTTAACAAGTGGTGCATGGATATCAACATGTAGAAGAATGAAAATAGACCCATATCTATCACCATGCACAAAACTCAAGTCCAAATGGATCAAAGACCTCAATATAAAGCCAGCCACACTGAACCTTATAGAAGAGAAAGTGGGAAGTACACTTGAACGCATTGGCACAGGAGACCACTTCCTAAATATAACCCCAGCAGCACAGACATGGAGAGAAACAATTAATAAATGGGACCTCCTGAAACTGAAAAGCTTCTGTAAAGCAAAGGACACTATCAACAAGACAAAACATCAGCCTATAGAATGGGAAAAGATCTTCACTAACCCCACATCAGACAGAGGTCTGATCTCCAAACTATACAAAGAACTCAAGAAATTGGACACCAAAAGAACACATAATCCAATAAAAAATTGGAGTACAGACCTAAACAGAGAACTCTCAACAGAGAAATCTAAAATGGCTGAAAGACACTTAAAGAAATGTTCAACATCCTAGTCATCAGACAAATGCAAATCAAAACAACTCTGAGATTCTATCTTATACCTATAAAAATGGCCAAGATCAAAAACACTGACGACAACTTATGCTGGAGAGGCTGTGGGGAAAAGGGAACACTTCGGCATTGCTGGTGGGAATGCAAGCTGGTACAACCTCTTTGGATGTCAGTGTGGCACTTTCTCAGAAAATTAGGAAACAACCTTCCTCAAGACCCAGTAATACCACTTTTGGGTATATATCCAAAGGATGCTCAATCGTGCCACAAGGACATGTGCTCAACTATGTTCATAGCAGCATTGTTTGTCATAGCCAGAACCTGGAGACAACCTAAATGCCCCTTGACCCAAGAATGGATAAGGAAAATGTGGTACATTTACACAATGGAGTATTACACAGTAGAAAAAAATAACGACAGCTTGAATTTTGCAGGAAAATGGATGCAACTAGAAAACATTATTTTCAGTGAGGTAACCCAGAGAGAGAAAGACAATTATCACATGTACTCACTCATAGGTGGTTTTTAAACATAAAGCAAAGAAAGCCAGCCTACAAACCACAATCCCAGAGAATTTAGACTACAATGAGCACACTAAGAGAGACTCACACAGATCTAATCAACATGGGAAGTAGAAAGTAAAAAAAGACAAGATCTCCTTAGTAAATTGGGAGCATGGGGACCTTGGGGGAGGATTGAAGAGGGGAGGGGAGAGACAGGGAGGGGAGCAGAGAAAAATGTAGAGCTCAATAAATATCAATGAAAAAAGAAGCTATTTTGGGCCTAGGGCAGGGTAGAATATAGCCAGGCTGAAAGAGATACATTGACAGAATAGGTGGAGTCAAGAAGAAGCCATGTAGCTGCCAAAGGAGATAGATATCCAAAGTTTACCCTGTAAGCCATAGTCACATGGCAGTACACAGAAATTAAGAGAAATGGGTTAATTTAAGATATAAGAGTTAGCCAGGAATATGCCTAAGGTATTGGCCAAGCAGTGGTGTAATTAATACAGTTTCTATGTAATTATTCAGGTCTCAACAGCCAGGAAATGAATGAGCAGCCTCAACCTACAAAATGGCAGCCAGAATGGGGTAAGAATTTTCATGTGAAGTCTAAGAAAGATTTTTTTTTTAAAAAAAGGTTTTTAGACTCACAAAAACAGGAGCCAAGCTAAGCTTCTTCGTAACAACATTTTTTTTCAGATAAGTTCTGTTTGTTGCTGGCGAGCAGGGGCACCACAGTTCCATTAACAGAAGGATTACTGACTTAGTATAAGAAATGATTGTTTCCTAGTTCATGCTGGCATCATGAACACTGACTATTTAAGGAGGCCAAGCACTTAAATGGGGTTTGTGGGAAGCATGCTACTAGTTGCTTAATGGTGAAATAGACCAACTGCAACCCTGGACGTAGGGTGGCGAGCATGGCTCTCAGAGGCAGTGAACAGGCCTCCACCATATTAAATTGGGCAGAGACAAAAGGCAAAGCAACCTTAGTCCTAGCCACACCTACTTAGCATATAAAAAAAGTGCTCCTGGTCAAAAAATAATTATAGATATGCACAAAATAAGGACAAATTTAGATGAAAAGACCTCTAAATGGGTCACAATGTTAGATAAATGTATGCAGGCTTAGCAGAGAGAAGAAAAACAATATAGACAGTTATAAAGGAAGTGGTTTAAAAAACAGTCTTTAAAGAGACAGAGTACAGTCACAGATTAAAGGAGTAAAGGAAAAAAGCCACGTAAAAATGGAAAATATACAGAGAATCTGGATTACGTATATTATTGTGTTTTCTTTGAATTTTTTGACTGTGAAGGAGCTAAGTACACAGAGACATTTCATTGTACAGGCTGCTAAGTTAAACCAACAGTTATTTTAAAGGTATCTTTACTTCAAAATTTGGGTCTAAGGATATGTTGTTTTGGAAAAGAAGTTCTGCTTTTGTTTCCACAGAGGATGAGAATCTGTGGATTCCTTCCAGCCTAAATAGTTTGATGGAACAAGACCCCCTGAAATGTCTCCATGAACCCCAAAATTATTTTACTCAACAAAAATCAGGAAGCAGTTTGGAGAGAACTACATCCAAATTCTAAAATACTGTTTATAAATGTTTGTTTTCATTTTAAGGGGATATAATATAGAGATTAATACTTTGCATTGTTATGGATCTTGGTTTATTGATACAAATTTTAGGTCAATTTTGCTATATGTATATTTCTGCTCTTGATTAAGGTATTGCGTTTGTACAGCTCATTTAAAAATGTGATATATAATTAAGAAATATAAGCTAATACACATCTATAATAATTAAACTTGTAGTCATGTTAGGTTTTCTAGATGTATAGAGATATATTTCAGATGAATAGGTATTTTTCAAACCTTTCAAAAATTAACAGAATATGGCATTTAAAATGTTTAAGAAATTAGGACTTTTCATGACAATGAGACACATCTGTTACAGGCAGCACCAATCTACTTCAAGAGGGTAATGGGCATTCAAAAGGCTCCTTATTTTGAAGAATTTGCTAGCCATTTGGGAAAGAAAACAGCTCTTGCCTGGACTGCTTGATGGTATGCTATATAAACTGGACATGCAGGACCCACAGAAAAATGACTGCTGAAGTTGTCTAAAGAAGATGAGACAGTCCTTCAGGTTTCCTCCTTCATGAAAGAGTCTGCCAGACATTCTGCAGGACACAGATGAAAGTGACTGATAAACTGCCAATATAGGCAGAACTGTCTTTAAAATTTCCTGCTTCATAGAAACATCTGCCCAAATTCTATGGGCCTGTAGGCTGAAGATGGATGCCCCAATGGTACAGAAGAACTTTGGGTAAACTTGTTCAGGCAGCAAGATGTCTTTGTCAATTCTAGAATTTTGGAAGTTGCTTACAATACACTTCCTGTTAACTTAGGTAATATTATATCCTTCTGGGGTCTTTGATAGAGCTGAAGAATAGAGAGTTATAATTAAAGTTTTCCTTAATTATGATTAAAAATAAAGCAGATATAAATATTGTAACTGTAATTCTTGGTTGGTACCTATTTTGTTTTATGTAATTTTACTATGTTAAAGTTAAAACCTTCCTTTTTATTTAGACAGAAAGGGGAGATGATGTAGGATTCCCCTCAGTATGCAGTGAATACCATTGATTAAAAGAAAGAAGCTGCTCTGGGCCTAGAACAGGGCAGAATATAGCCAGGCTGGAAGAGAGAGAGAGAGAGAGAGAGAGAGAGAGAGAGAGAGAGAGAGAAAGAGAGAGAGAGAGAGAGAGAGAGAGAGAGAGAGAGAGAGAGATATTAGGCTGAGTCAAGGAGACGCCATGTGGCTGCCAAAGGAGATACATGCCAGAACTTTACCTGGTAAGTCATAGTCACATGGTGATACACAGATGAAGAGAAATGGATTAATTGAAGATATAAGAATTAGCCAGGAATATGCCTAAGCTATTGGCCAAGCAGTGTTACAATTAATACAGTTTTAGTGTGATTGATTATTCCAGTCTGAGTGGCTGAGAAATGAACAGGCAGCTCTGTCTATAGAGTCTGAAAAGATAAAAACCATGCAGGGTTCCAGCACTAAGAGGAGAAGTGGACATGAGCCCCCAACCCTAACCCAGAAGTTATCTTCAAGTGTGGAGTCTCAGTGGGTATACAAACCACACTTAAAGGAGGCCCCATACCCAGTATTAGATGGATAATATGTAACAAATGACTTTTTGCCTCATAATGCTTTATTTTGGGCACTTTTTAACCTTACTGGTCTTTGCTTGTATATCAGAGTTTTTGATTTTGTGTTTCTATGGAGGGTGGGTGTGTTTGTATAGGGGTGGGCATGTTTCTCATGCATCTTTATTTCCATTTGTTTTATTTTACTCTGGCTTGTCTGTTTATTTTTTAGAGAGAAAAAGAGAGAGGTTATGGAGTTGAATGGATGGGCAGGTGGGTAATGATCTAGAAGAAGATGAGGGAGGGGAACTTTTATCAGAATATATTTTATGGAAAAAAATTACAATTAAAATATTGGGGAAAATCACATGCAATATTTGCCTTAATATTTTCCTAATATACCATATAAAAAGTTCAATATAATGAAATATACTAAGATTAGAGCTCTTTAACATGTACATCACTGTTAGTTACGAATCAGGTTCTCACAATGCAAAGGTTTGCTAGCGTTCTATCTTACCTTAGATGCCATTCTCATGAAGAGTCTGTTTTGGTCAATATCTCTTCCCATCTTCTCATTTTTGACTAAATCTTTGAGACTCAGATGATGATCATCAGGAAAGTATCGGATCCTTTCTTTATCCTCATGAGTTGAAACCTAAAGCAAAGGGAACATAATAAAGTCTCGGCAGATGTTTTGAATGAGTTATCCATAAATCTGGTAATAAGTGTTAAAAAAATCCCATCACATATCACAACTGTCCTGTCTACATGAAAGAAAGTCCAACAGAATTATACTTTGTACTTCTTCCCTTTCTTGTCTTTTTCCCAGGAAGGAGCAATCATTAGCTGACTGCCAAGTGTGGCCAAAGATTACAACTGTCCTGTCCCTCTCTCCTGCTCTCCATAACAACTGTCCTATCCCTATCTCTTCTGCTCTCCCTTACACCTAAAACTCCTTACACGGTGGAACAAAGACTGCCATTATTCAAGCAGGAAATAAGAGTTAAATAAGAATTAAACAACAACAACAACAACAACAACAAAACAGAGGTAAACATCTACTACTCTGGGTCTAATGTTTGTAGCCCTCCCCTAACTCATGTGTTACAAGGAGTCAGGACTTTAGAGAGGTAATCAGGTAATATGATGTAGTCCTCATGAGTAAGATTAGTATCCTATAAGGATATGACAGCACTTGCTCTGTGTCTGCTCTCTACTACGTTAGAATAAAATGAAAAGCATCACTGTAAACTCAAATGTTTAACCTACCAGTCATTTGGAGTTCTCACTCTCCAGTACTAGAAGATACATTTCTGTTAGCTGGGCCACCAACCTGACAGATTGTTCTGATTGTGAGACCGATAAATTATGCATTTCTAACCACTAATTTGCTCTATAAACAGCTTTATCAAAAACAAAACTGATATTCTGAGGCCACATAATTCAGCCCTGGGTTTTCCTCAGTTCGTTTCTTATCCACACGTGAATCACAAGGTGCTATTTACTTTCTCCCTAGTCCAACCACTCATTGTAGTAGTTAAATAGAACCCATCCCCTAACTTCTTTGCAATGCCTAAAAACAATGTCCCATCATTTATTCTAACATTGCTATTATTTTTTTCACTAACCTGAACCTCATTTGATATGATTTTCCTGGCTCCACATACTTAATATTTGGCCTACACTCAAAAATGCAAATCCCAGGCCTGAATGAATCTGTCTCTGACTTTAATCACTTGTTTAGGTTGTTCAGTAGTATGCAACTTAAAAATGCTTTCATGACATCTGATATTGTGGTTATGGATTCCTAGACAGTTCTGCCATTTTAATTGTTCATTTATTTTTCACCGTATCTCTCCAGCTTCCCCATTACATTAGGAGTATCAATCTCATCTCTCAGTATTCAAGGAATTAATTAGTATCTAAAGTAGAATAGGCACTCAACAGGCAAACAACCAATAGCTGCCAAAAATTCCGAAGCAAACAAAAATTTTTATATTCAGTTATCTTGTACATGATCTTCAATTTTAAAACAATAATCTAATTTATGAAAAGTGGAGGTATTGTTTTTGCCACCTTTCCATACTCAAGGCACTGCTAAAAATTAATTATCAGAGATGGAAGATAGAAAAGAAAATACAATGTTTAAAAGCTCATACCCCCTATGTAATTAAGACATTACTGTATATGAACACCCTACCATTGGGCCTCAAACTAGGTGTTTACAAAGACACCAAGTCCAGGAGGTCAAGCTTTTCTATGTGCAATATGGTAAATATGCAAAAGAAACTGAATACAATGTCAAAAAATGTAAACTAAATTTAAAGTTGCAGTAAGCCTTCCATGTTCAGTCACTCCAAAAACATGGCTGAATTGTCTGCCATTTGTAAAAAGTAAAAAGGTACAACTAAGAATAAAAGTGAAAATTTATTATTTTTCAATGATTTCACTTCAAAAGAAAATTCTAGTCTAATGTAAAATAAACTCCAAAGAGAAAAAGAGAATTGTGAATTTGTAAGTGAAAGCATATGCTACACCTACTCCTTGTCTCTTTCTTCTTTTCGCTTTCATATCCAGGGTCCCTCCAGGAGTGTTCACAGGCCACACTCTTCCAGACTCATCTCTTCTAGTAAGGATCACTTCTTCATCTTCATGCTAAGGAAAGGTTAAAATACTTATAATGCTAAATGTCTGTGGGAGTCTGCGTTTCTCAATGGATACCCACGCCCGACCCAGGCTGCGCGCTTCCTGAACTCGGGCCCATGAGAAGGGACAATTTCCTGAGGGTTGAAAAAGAGACACAGACACAAAGAGACCTGGCTCATCTACAAGAGTAAATGGCAACTTTATTAAACTCAAGTCAGATATTTATACCAGTGGGCAACCAGGATCAAAAAGGCAAGGCCTCCTCCCAACCAGAAGCAGGAGGAGAAGATTAAAGCTTCCCGGCCCCTCGGGCAGGGTCAGCCAGGGGAGGCAGGCTAACGGCTCACTGTTAAGACCTTGAATACAGGTGGAATCACCATAACAAAGAGAACCAGGTTCTTGCTAAGTTATCCCCTCAAGCCAGAGCTGGTGCAGAGACTCCAGGAAGCCGGAGGTCACACGGCCCTGCGAATCGCCAGGAGAGAAGGGAAGAAACTTTGTTAGCTACAAATGTCCACACTTAACAACAACAAATTACAGAAAAGATTCTAGATTTCAGAAAGACCTATGGGTCATTTTAAGTCTCTTGGATTTTTAACAATCATTGTAAATTAACTATAAAATGAAAAACAAGAGGGAGAGAAACCCAAAGTTCATTTTAGCATTTTTATAATTCAATTAATGAGGCAATCTTCAAATGATTCTGTTAACCATTTTTAACTGGGCACAATGGGGTTGAATCTAAGGCCTCATGCATAATATTAGGTAAGCAGCCGACCAATGAGTTATATTCTAACCCTGATATTTCCTTTTTAAAAAGATTCTGAGATACAGTCTTACTAAATTATCCAATGTGGCCTTGAACTCAGCCTGTATTTCACACTGACCTTGAACTTGCTATATCCCCCCTCTCCTCCCACAAGATTCCAAGCTTGTGTTAAAGGCCCAGTTCAAACAGTTTCATCCAAATACATTGAAGGATGATAAAGGAAAGAACAAAGATGGTGGCACTGCCACAGAGGGCCATATTGAAGTCTGTGGTCTATGTTGTCTCCAGACGCCAAGTTGAGGCATATAATTCCTGCTGTAATCTGGGGGCCACGTTTGTTATCTGCTGCCAGCAAAGGCTGTGTATACATCTGTTGTCTAGGCTCCCACACCTTTAATTCCAGCACTCGGGAGGCAGAGACAGGCAGATCTTTGTGAGTTCGAGGCCAGCCTGGCCTGGTCTACAAGAGCTAGTTCTAGGACAGGCTCCAAAAGCTATGTGCAAGGTGGAACTAAACTTATAGTTCTACTACCAAGACAGCTCTATAGCCCCATTACCTATATTCTTTATTTAGTTTTATTCATAAAGTCAATCACATTTTATGACACTATCAGTTCAGCGTGAACACACACACATACAAACAAACACACACACACATTTTACACATCTATAAACAACCTTAATTCTGCACAGAAGACTAGAGGAATTAAACTAAACATGGCAAGCTCAAGAATCTGTGTGGCCTTCAAATGCTGGCCCTGTACTTCTTTTCTTTTCTAGCTCTTCACAATTCTGGCAAATTTGCATTTTATTTCCATTTCACAGAAATAGTTACCTTCTTGTTCAACAAGGAAAACAAGAATGTAATCACAGACAACCATCAGTTCCCAAGTAATTTTAAGAATATTCACATTGCTATTATTACAAGTCATTAAGAAAACAACCATTATACTATTTGTGATTTTCTATCTTAGCCACTTTTTCAGGCCAAGAAAAGGTAAACATTTTAAGTATATAGAAGACCTGGAACACTGTAAAATAACAGAGTCCTCAATAAATGCTTGATAAATGGAATTAACAAACCAGGGCCTCAAACTGATTGATACACTCTCAAAATTAAACCACTTCCTTCCCTTGGGTGTCACTTTGTTACTTTCATTTTCACGATGTTGTCAGTTCATAAGACCTGAAACCAACTCATTTTATTCACTTACAACAGAGAGGTCTTTTCTACGGAGAAAAAAAAAAAGGCCTGACATGGCACAGTGGCAAACATTTTTAATCCCAGTGCTAGGAAAGGAGAGACAGGTAGATCTGTGTTGAATTCAACACCAGCTGATCTACAATAGTGAGTCCCAGGACAAGAGTTACAGAGTAGAGAGTGCTTATCACAAGAAATTAAAAGTGAAATTAGGCAAACCAATTTTAACATCCATGTAATTTACTATTTCTTTCCAAAAACAGAAACACATTTTCTGCTACAAATAGAAAGGATTTATAAATGTTTTCCATTTTGTAAATACTCCAGAGTTTTACATTATTCCCAACAAACACTGTTCAATCCACAATTTTTGATTTTACAAACACTGAAAGCGAATGTTTAATTACAAACATTTTCTATGAATATTCTTATAAACGAATCTCAATATGCTTTAGTTCTATCAATTCTTTATCTATAAAACAGCCTTATAGCTGGCAAAAATCATCCATACACAAATAAAAGTTCTAAGTAGGTAAGCATTTTTATCTTTTCCATTCAATAATAGACAAACAAACCATAGACAAAATTATTTGTCTTATCTGAAATGAATATGTAATAAAATTCTCTCATTCTACTGTAGGAAAAAAAATTTAAGGACATCATCAAGCCACAGAATTTAGAATAAAAGATTTCCTTGGCCTGAGGATGAGGCTTTCACCAGGGAATGCTAGTCAAATTTACATATAGACATCTAGAATTACAATACCACTGCTGTAGTATAATAATATTAAACAAAGTAATATACATTCAAACAAGCTTTCATTACTTACCTTTATTCTGGATCTTTGTGTTGATATCTGTGCTATGGTTTCTTTGAATTTATTTGCCTCTTTAAGTTGGGCTTTAAGTTGTTCAGCTAATTTCTTCGAAAGGAAAAATCAAATAGGTAAGCTGTGTTGTTAAATTTTTCATTACAGGGTTGGAGAGATGGCTCAGAGGTTAAGAGCATTGCCTGCTCTTCCAAAGGTCCTGAGTTCAATTCCCAGCAACCACATGGTGGTTTACAACCATCTGTAATGGGGTCTGGTGCCCTCTTCTGGCCTGCAGGCATACACACAGATAGAATATTGTATACATAATAAATAAATATTAAAAATAATTTTTCATTACAGAATATTCCAAAGTTATAAAGCAGTCAACACCTGACTTTGATAACCAATTGACACAAATTTTAATAAGCATTCTTCAGTTACAAATTTCTTGAGTATTGAGATACTCTGTTTATGATTTTGACGTGAATAATTTCAAGAAACTATACTTTGAGAGAGGAAAGAAAATGGAAAAAGATACGTATCATCAAGAATTACACTTTTGCAGCTGGGTGATGGTGGCACACATCCTAGCACTTGGGACGGTGAGTCAGCCAGATCTCTGTGAGTTCAAGGCCAGCCTGGTCTACAGAGCAAGCTCCAGGACTGGCTCCAAAGCATTTAAATTTAAAACAACTCCATGTATATTTCAGTAAATGAATTTCTGTCTTTGCTATTCTGTCATATCAAAGTTAATACAAATCAAAATAAATGGTAATATATATGTATATATGGTAAATGAATGAGTAGGTCCTACCAAATTGTCTCGATTTTTATTTAATTGTAGGCAAATTGGTCTTAACTCATAAACATATTTTATGTTCTTCTTAAACATTTTAAATTTACTGTTGAGTTTCATCATAGCATATGTATGGAGATCAGAGCACAACTTGCAGTAGTAATAGGTTGGTGGTACAGATTAAACTCGGGTTATCAGCCTTTATGACAAACTCCTTTACCTACTGAGTCATCCGACCTGTACCAAGTTCTTAGGTTCTTATGTGCTATTTTAAGAAAGTAATAATAAGCAGTGTTGGGCTGCAGACACCTCAGTGGTTAAGAACATTTGCTGCTCTTACAAAGGACCAGTCATCAATACCCAGCACATACTTTTTCTGTGTTAATACCTTTTTCTGGCTTCAGAGGGCATCATAGTGTGTGTGTACACAAATAAAAATGTTTAATGAAAATTAAATCTTTATAAAAAGAAACTAATAAGCATTCTTAAGTTAAAATGGAAGTGAAAGAAAGACATCTTTAACTCCTTCAACTATGTCCCAGATGTTAGATGTTAGAAATGCAAGAATAAGTAGAAAGGTATATAAAAATAACATGTTTTTCATAAATTCCAGAAATCTAAAAAGGAGAGATAATATATATTTCTCCAATAGAGAAACCACAAGAGTACTATTTCTAGAAATTCTCAAGAAACAGTACTGGCATAACTGCACGTGAATATGTACAAGAATATAAATAGATCCATATCTATCCCCATGCACAAAACTTAAATCCAAATGGATCAAAGACCTCAACATGAATATAATCACACTGAACCTCACTGAAGAGAAAGTGGGAAGGAGCCTTGAACACATGGACACAGGAGACCACTTCCTAAATATAACCTCAGTAGCACAGACACTGAGAGCAACAATCAATAACTGGGACCTACTGAAGCTGAGAAGTTTCTGTAAGGCAAAGGACACAGTCACTAAGACAAAATGGCAGCCTACAGAATGGGAAAAGAACTTCATTCTCCCCACAGACAGAGGACATATAAAGGACTCAAGAAGCTAGGCATCAAATTACCAAGCAATCCAATCAAAAAATGGGATACAAATCTAAACAGAGAATTCTCAACAGAAAAATCTCAAATGGCCAGAAGACACTTAAGGAATTGCTCAGCATCCTTAGCTATCACAGAAATGCAAATCAAAACGACTATGAGATACCATCTTATACCTGTCAAAATGGCTAAGATCAAAAACACATGCTGGAGAGGATGCGGAGTAAGGGGGACACTAATCCGTTGCTGGTGGGAATGCAATCTATCTCAAGATCTAGCAATACCACTCTTGGGCATATACCGAAAGGATGCACACTCAACACAAGGACATTTGCTTAACTGTGTTCACAGCAGCATTATTCATAACAGCCAGAACCTAGAAATAACCTACATGTTCCTCAACAGAAGAATGGATAATGACAACGTGGTACATTTACACAATGGAGTACTACTAGTGGAAAAAACAATGACACCTTGAAATCTGCATATAAATGGATAAAAATAGAAAAGACCATCCTGAGTT